GACACACACAGGATGTATTTTCCTTCCTGCTGCTGCTTTATCTCTAATGCCTTAAGTCAATAAAGATAGTAGAGAGCTGGAAAATACTTACAAAACCCCTGTGGCTTAGAAATACCTTGTCTTCTTGAAGCTGAATCTCTTTTCTGTCAGGACATAGAGCAGGGAGGGAATTGTCCCCAGTTTCTTGCTGTATTTGTTCTCAGTCTAAAGATCTGTGTCATGCTGCTGTTACCTCTTCTGCCTGAACAGCAGGACCTTTTTTTTCCTGTTGCAGACTCCATCCTGTGAAGCCAATGAATGCCATGGCTAACAAGCCTCAGAGCAAGAACTTGAATGTCATCAGCACCATGAATGAAAAGCTGCTGGAAATGAGTGTGAAGGTATGGAGGGAAGTGGCACTTTCACTGCTCAAGCTTGGATTTAATTGAAGAGTTTGGGTATTCCAGATAGCTGGGCCAGGAACATCCTTTTGGTCAGCCCTCAAGAGTGGGATCGTTCCTTAAATGCTTCTTTTCTTGCAGACTGACCTATAAGAGAGCTGGGGCTCGTGTTTTTGGGGGAGGTTCTCAGGCACAGCCACTTCCTTGGAGCACAGTCATGCAGCTGGGTCAGCAGTGGGACTGAGAGGAGCTCTCAGCATAATCCTGGTCTCAAGAGAGACCTCCAGGCTTGAGGCACAGCTTCCCTGGCAGGCTGATCCAAAAGGCTGGGAGCATCCCTGGCTCAGCAGGGAAAATCACGGCTCCCTTATGGTCTGTCAGGGTTTTTTGGGAAATAGGGAAGTTAGAACTGAAATAACAGCAGTGCCTCCTTCTGGTGAGAGGGGAGGGGATGGGAGTTCAGTGATTCAAACTGCCACGCTGCTGTTTCAAGGGGGTTGAAAACTTGCAGTGGATGTTGTGGTGTTCTGATTCCACCTAAATTGTGTGTGCTGCCCCACAGGGTTGTGTTGTGCTCACTCTCCCTGCCTGGGCAGTGTTCTGGGAGCTGGAGGAATCAGCAGAAGCTGCCCAGTACCTCTCATGCTGTGTGAGGGTTAAAACCAGATTTTCCAAAGGAATGGGAAGAAACAGCAAAGGCCTGGGTGGGCATTTCGTGCTGTTTACCATGAATTTGGCTTTCCCAGGGTGCACTGAAGCAGCTGGTTTAAGCTTTAGCAGGTTTGTTTGGCAGCAGCTGTCACCGTGCTGGTCTGTGTGTTGTGTGTCTGGTTTGGAATGTCCTGTGCCTGCTCTGACCCTCCTTCCCTCCCTCCCTCCCAAGAAATACGATCCCTCAGACCCTGCCTATGCCTATGCTCAGCTGACACACGATGAGCTGATCCAGCTGGTGCTGAAACAGAAGGATACCATTACCAGGAAGGACCTCCAGGTGCGGGAGCTCGAGGACTACATCGACAACCTCCTTGTCAGAGTCATGGAAGAAACCCCAAACATCCTCCGTGTTTCCATGTCTGGCAACAGAAAAGCTGGGAAGATGTGAAGGGTCTGGGGGCGTCGGTGGGCAAGGACTGAATTCCCCCAGAGGAGGGTGAGGAGCTGGTGGTGCTGGGTGTGCTCTCACAGAAAATGACCTTTTCCTGTTCCTGCCTTGAGCAACCCTCGGATTGATTAATAGTTCCATCAGGTGTTGGCATGAAGTCACCTTACCGTATTTATTTTTTGTTTCCTTCCCATTATTTGGGAAGGTCAGGCATTAATCCAAAGGCTGGTTGTGATGGGAAGGAGGAGGGTTTTTGATGTGTTTTGCTTCCCAGCAAGGTGCTGATGATCCTTTAGGATGATTTTTTTTAAATGGTTTTGTTTTGTAGCAGCTTTTAGAGGTCAGTTACTTTTCTTTCCACATCTGAAGTTGTAGTGCAATATGAATCTTTGTACAGTAGAGCTTGAGGATTTGATTGTTTTTAAAATAATAATTAACTACACTGGAGAAGTCCAAAGATGGCCCAGCTTCAGACCTGGGCTGCAATTTAAAAGGAATGAAAGGTGACCATAAGCTGACCAAATCTCAGTTCATCTCATCGAGTGGACATTCCCAAGAGTCCTTCAAGGGAAAGTTGACGGGTTTTTTGGAGTAGGAGACATTGAGGTTCACGGTACGTTTCTACCACAGGAATGGCACCAATGGATTTAGGCCTAAGGTACATTTTAAATCAGAAATTTTGCTCTTAGTGTCTTAAATTTCTGCTCTGGAGGCTGTTCAGAGCAGGCAGAGGCTGCCCTGCCTCTGCCCTGTGCTCTGCTCTCACACTTTGTGCCCCGTGGGAGCTCTGAGACCATTTCCCTTTCACCCTGCATGGAGGGAACAGAAATCCCTTGGGGTTTGGAGCTGGGGCTCACCTTGAGGGCCCTCCCAAGGTGAGAAGCCTTGCAGTGCTCCTGCTGTCAGTGCAGGCAGGGCTGGGGCTCCCCCCTGGCCTTGAGTGGCTGAGGGGGCTGGGGGAGCAGCCAGCCCAGAGCTCTGGGGGTCCTGGTGGGCTCAGGGGGGTTCTCCCCATCCCCTCAGGCTGGGGGAGCTGCACAGCCCAGAGCTCTGGGGGTCCTGGTGGGCTCAGGGGAGTTCTCCCCATCCCCTCAGGCTGGGGGAACAGCCAGCACAGCTTCCCCTGCTGCAGACTGAACAGAGCTTTGTTTGCTGAGCTCTTGGCAGAGACCAAAACAGCAGATGCCTTTTGGGACCCCTGGGATTTACCAGGGCAGGGAGAGCCCATGAAAGGCTTAGAGAGAAGCTGGAAAACCAACAGAGCCCTGCAAAGGACCAAAGCTTCATGAGGAGCAAAGCTTCAAGCTTTCCAGCCCTAATTCTATGGAAATAAACACTCCTACCTTTGGAAGTTGTTGGGTTATTGGGTCACTCCTGGCTCAGGGGTGAGTTTCTAACTCCATTTCTCTACAGGAAAGCACTTTATTGAGGGACTGGAGCAGCTGGAAGGACTCTCACCCTGTGAGCAGTCTGCTTACAATGTCACACACCACTGCAGATCTCAAATGCTGCATTTTGTAGTGAGGAGCAGTTTGATAGATTTGCACAGAGATGTAAACATTTGTTAGAAGAATCAAAGAAATGCTGTTTATGGCATTTTTATTCCTGTTTATCCCTGCTACCAAAGTCTGGAGCTTTACTGGCAGAGCTGTCCCTCATGGGCAGCCTGACCTCAAACAAGCCTTAGGAGCTGAGTCTTGCAAGACTTCAGGTACTTTTGTCTCATTTTAGTGTTATTTGAGCAGTGAGGGCGTTCTCTCCTTTCTGCTGTGAGTGAAGGCAGCCTTGGTGGTGGTTTCATTCTGAGTGCTGCTGCCTCCTGTGCCTTCTTGAGCGAGGAAGATGAAGGATTGATTTGTTTCCTCCTCGTGCCTCTGTGGATCTCTGGACAGAGGATCCTGTACCTCACTGATAAACTTATATTTTAGACTTTTTCTCCGCTGGGAAGAGTGACCTGCACAGAACCAAAGCAATAAATAATATTATTGTTCATAAAATAAATAATGTTATGCTCTTAGCAGAGACGAAGCCTTAATGCTTGGGACAGTGGCAGCCCCACCCGTGGGTGCTGTGGCAGCCCCAGCCGTGGGTTTTCTCAGGGCTCCTCTGTCCGGGGGCTGCAGCTGTGGAACCTCTCCCCGAGCAGACCCACGGGGGGCTCCCTGTCCTCCACTTGCTCAGCCCCAAAAACCTCACCCAGCCCTCCAGCCTCATTTTATTGGCAACACTGGTTAAAGCCTTCCTTTGGGGTGAGGGGACTGGCATTTTACATCCTCAAGGGCCTTAAGAACCAAATGTATTGTTTATTATTGAAGGATCCACTGCACGTTCCCTGTTCGTACTCCTGCTTTTAGTCCAGCTGCTGTTTGTTTTTAAAGGCCTTTTGGTTTTGTGGAACACTAAAATAAAGACACAAAGCAGCGCTCTGGTCACCGTGTCTTTGTTGTGGAGTTTCAGGAGGGTTTTGAAGCGATATGCGGAATAAATAAATAGACTCCACAACTTGAGGTAGTTATGAAGTGGGGATGTATTGTCGGCGCCCGGCACAAGTGAGATAACTCTCCGAAATCTTGTGCCCCGAGCTGAAGTTTGCCCCCCGACTTTATTCACAAAGGTGTTCCATATGCAATACATTACACAACTTTTCTGTGCATATTCAACCCCTGGCCCCGCCTGTCTTCGCTTCTCATGCTAAATAGGTCCACGCCCTTCTGGGCACGCGTAGTTTTTTGTGGGTTCTTTTATGGGGGTCCCTGGTGGTCTTTTAATTGTAATCTTCATCTTCCTCTGCATTGAACTTTTGAACTCTCCTCCTCTGCGCTTGCGCTTTTGGTCCTTTGCTCTCCTATCTGGATAAGTTCATCATCCTTGACATGCTGGAGACACAGGGCTTCCTTGTCTGAAAGTCTTAGCATTCTTTGTCCTTTCCGGTATTTGTCTTTTTGCAAGAAGCTTTAGAGATCTTTGTTTTTCTTTCCTATGCCTTTCTGTGCAGGGCTTTCTTAAAATTCAACACACGATTCTACAGACATGATACATTCATTTTTGATATATTCATTTTTGATACATTCTTTTTATACATTTATTTTTGATACATTCATTTCTGATACATTCATTTCTGATACATTCATTTTGTTAGTTCAGGTGATCTCTGGAAAATCTTTTGTTTCAGACGGACGGACGGGCCCGCACCGGCGGAACCGGGAGTTCTGCGGAGCGCCCCGGGGCCCGCGGCTGGGCCCTCACGGCAGCGCCGGCCTCCGGGGACGGGAGGGGGCCATGGGGGTGTCCGAGCCGCGGCGTTTCGGGGTTCTCCGCCCGGGAGGCCGCGTCCTCCCCCCGGTGCCGCTCCCCCCGGTGCCGCCTCCCGGCCCAGCCCGGCCGGAACGCAGCGAGCGCCGCCGGCGCCTCGGCCGGACGGGCGTCGGGACGGACCGCGGGCCGCGCTGCTATTGGTGGGCTGGGGGCGGGCCGCGCCGCTATTGGCTGTTGGCGGTGCTCCCTCCTCAGCGGTCCCCCAGCGCGGCGGCGGCGATGGCGGCGCGGGGCCGGTGCCCCGAGTGCGGGTCGGCGTCGCTGGTGGAGGACGCGCACTACGCGCAGCAGCAGCTGGTGTGCGCCGCCTGCGGCTGCGTGCTGTCCGAGGGGCTCCTCACCACCACCTACACCGACGAGGAGCATCTGCGGGGTGCGGCACCGCAACCGGGAGCGTCCGCGCTCGGGGTGGGGGTGCAGGACCGACGGTCCGCGGCTCGGTTGGGCCTCTCCGAGCTGTGCCGGGCACTCGCGTGTCAGGCCGGCCGCTCCCCCTCCCTCCATCCCCCCAGCACCAGCGGGGTTCTCCAGCCCGGGGCACACCTGCAGCACTTCCCGGCCAGGGCCTGCCTTGGAGCCGGTGATGAGCTTTAAATTTAAACGGAGGGAATCTCTTATTGTCAAAAGAGATTATTAGAATCCCATTGAAATCTCTTAGAAGAACTTTAAGCGCAGCAGGGCAGCCCCGAGGCCGTTGCCTGGCTCTGTCTGGAGGGAATTCCCGGCTCAGAGGAGATCCAAGAGCTCGTTTTTACCCGTGCTGCTCTAACTCAGCGCCCTCAGGCAGTTCTGGTTGTTGCAGTCCTGTTCTGTGGGCATTTGCTGGCCCCAGATCCACGTCTCTGTGCCTGGATTCCCCTCAGGACTGACTGATCCACCCCTGTTTTCCAGAGGTCGCCTATTCCCAGAGCACTGGCCAGAAGGAGCAGCTGAGCCGCTGCCTGCAGCGAGGTGAGAGCAGCTCCTGACCCCTCCCCTTCTCCCTGCCTGCCGCTCCGGTTGTTTCACCTGATTCTAGTGGTGAAAAGTGCCCTGGAGCTGAGCCGGGGGAGGGCACTTGGTGCTGCCTGCCCTGAGGGCCTGGGAGGGGCTTTAGTGCGGGGCTGGGTGAGCGCTGCCCGCTGGAATTCCTCGCTCCGTGTGTGATCCCGCAGGGATCCGGCGGGTCCAGGACCTCTGCAAGGTGCTGCAGCTGCCGGCCACGTTCGAGGAAACGGCTGTGTCCTACTTGCAGAGGGCTCTGCAGCTCCCTGCCTTCCACCTGCTCAGCCTGGAGAAGAAGGAGCTGCTGGGGGGCTGCTGCGTGTTGGTGGCGTGCCGCCAGCACCGCTGGCCCCTGACCATGGGCACCGTGTGCTCCCTGCTCTACGCCCGGCAGGAGCTGTTTGCCAGCGTCTTCCTGAGCCTGCAGCGGGAGCTGGGGCTCTCGGTGCCCGCCCTGGGCCTGGCAGACCTGGTGACAACGCACCTGAACAGGTGAGGGGGCCGTGGGGGCCTTGTTTGGCCTGGCTGGGTGGAGGGGCTGGGGTGTGGCCATGGGCAGGGCTGGGCTGGCTCTTGTCCCTCCGTGTCACACCTGGGCTGTGATTCTCAGCTTGGAGGGGGCCCAGGGAGGCAGCACGGATCACAGGATCCCGGATCTCTGGGGCTGGAATGAATCTCTGAGGCTGTTGAGTCCAGCCCGTGCCCGGGACCCACCTTGTCACCCAGCCCAGAGCATGGAGTGCCACCTCCAGGATGGGACTCCACCCCTTCTCCAGCAGAACCCTTCCCATAAAAAACTGCTCCTGGTGTCCAGGAGCAGCAGCCAGGCAGGAGCAGGGTGTGTCTGTCCCCGAGACTCCCCCTTATTGCCAGCCAGGGGCTGTGCACAGATCACCAACGGGACGGGACTGCTGAGGAACACGGCTCGAGCTGTTTATTCCCCAGCATCAGTCTCATTCCATGGTTATGACAATGGGAAGATGCCAGCAGCTCACATCCAGGCAGCAGACTAAAAACTTAATATTACAATTTACTTTAAAAGTTTTTTGAGCAATCACAAAAAACAAAAACATGGCAGTAGTTTTACCTAACCACCATAAGCACACGTACCTTTGGTTAAAACAATGCTTGCTGGTTTCAGATACAATACTTATAAGCCTTAAGATACAATGTACAGAGCTCCATTATTAAGCTTTAAACTTCTTAATATCTCACTAGATACACTTTTCTACAACTTAAAGAGTTATTCTACCCAAGTGTTAATACACAAACCATAGTTCGATTTGTCCTTTCTTTCTACTTCTTGTATAATTTTCTGCTGACAAATCTTATGGCTACTGCTTCACTCTAAATCACCATCCTACTGTCTCTAAAGCCTACCTTTTACAACGTGCCCAAACCTGTCGGAATCTGTGGGTATTGGTGATTCCGAGATTGTAGAAAGTCTCTGTCTTTCTGCCCCGTTGCCAAAGCAGAAGCCATAATTGGTCTGTGCTGGTTTCAAGGTTGTTTATTCTGTTTATCTCTACCATGTTCTGCTGCCCTGCCGCAGCTCTGTCCTGCAGGGCAGCGTGTGGGGCTCTGCCCTCAGTGGGATGGTACAAACATTAAATACCACAAACTCCCTGTGCTGGATTTACAATAACGTGCCAATATCTGTCACCTACGTTGGACAGTGTGTCCCCAGCCTGAACCAACAGAAAAATGCCAACACCACAGTGAAACATGGAGGGCATGAAGAAGGAGGAAAAGGACAAGGCACACCCAATTTCCTCCATCTTGTCCCCTCTGAACCCCTAATCTAGAAATCTAAAATTTTACTTTTGCACCCGTGCCACACTTAATTATTACTTATATCAAACACTCAAAGCTTGTAATTCATCCTGTAAGATTGAAAACTCTTTTCCATGGACAGAGATCACAGACAGTGTCTCTGGGGGCTCTGTCCAGGGGGGTCCCAGACCTGCCAGGGCAGCCAGAGGGAAGCCCTGGATTCCCACACAAACCCCTCTGATTTTAAAAAACCCCACACCCCTTTGCCCCCGCAGCTTCCGGCTGGTGCAGCCCACGGCCAGCGTCCCTGCACCCTTCCTGGAGGACAAGGAGCAGCTGCTGGCCCGCACCTTGGCCATCGTGGAGCTGGCCAGCGAGGCGTGGCTGGTGACGGGCCGGCACCCCGTGCCCCTGGTCACGGCCGCGGCGTTCCTGGCCTGGCAGTCGCTGCGGCCCGGCCCGCGCCTGCGCTGCCCCTTGGCGCGGTTCTGCCGCCTGGCAGGGGTGGACCTGCCGCCCCCCGCCCACCTCCGGCTGGCGGAGCTGCTGGAGATCCTGCTGGGAATGGCCTCCCAGCTCTCCTGGCTGCGCACCTTCCGCCTGGACAAGAGAACCGTGGTGAAGCACATCGGGGACCTGCTGCAGCACCGGCTCTTCCTGCTGAAACGCGCCTTCAGCCAGCAGGGCCAGCAGGGCCAGCAGGACACGGCCCCGGGCCAGGGCTCTGGGAGCCAGGGCTCCCTGGATAAAGACTCTCTGAGCCAGGACTCCCCAGGCCAGGGCTGCCCAGGCCAAGACTCTGTGAGCCAGGGGTGCTCAGACAAGGACTCTGTGAGCCCAGACTCCCCAGATAAGGACTCTGTGAATAAGGACTCCCCAGGCCAGGACTCTGTGAGCCAGGAGTGCCCAGGGCAGGATTCTGTGAGCCAGGAGTGCCCAGGGCAGGATTCTGTGAGCCAGGAGTGCCCAGAGCAGGATTCTGTGAGCCAGGGCTCCCTGGATAAGGACTCTGTGAGCCAGGAGTGCCCAGGGCAGGACTCTGTGAGCCAGGGCTCCCTGGATAAGGACTCTGTGAGCCAGGGCTCCCTGGATAAGGACTCTGTGAATAAGGACTCTGTGAGCCAGGACTCCCCAGGCCAGGACTCTGTGAGCCAGGGCTCCCTGGATAAGGATTCTGTGAGCCAGGGCTCCCTGGATAAGGACTCTGTGAGCCAGGACTGCCCAGGCCAGGGTCCCCCCGGCTCTCCAGCGGTGGCACAGCAGCAGGGCTGTCCCTCAGCAGGGAAGCAGCAGCAGCGTGGGGGCAGCCTGAGGCCCCTGCTCCCTCCCTGCCTCCTGCGGCCCAGGAAGAGGCCGAGGCCGGCAGCTGCGAGCGCTCCGGCCGTGGCCCTGACGGGCGACGAGCCCATCTCGGACAGCGAGATCGAGCAGTACCTGCGCAGCCCCGAGGAGATCCGCGCCTTCAGGAAGGCCAAGGCCTGGCCCTGAAGGGGGCCCTGGGCCCGAGGGGCGGTTTTGGGACCAGAAGTGTGAAGGCCACCAGGAACAGGGTGGTTGTGCTGCAGGGACAGTTGCTCCAGGAATGAGTCTGGGCTGGGTCCTCCTTAATGTGCCCAAAATGGGCTTTTTGTGAAATGACTGCTTCAGGTCATGTTATGTTTCTGTTGTAAATAAATAAAAGCGCACGTGCCAAGTTTTCCATGGCAGCCTCACCTTGGACTCCTCATTCTTCAGCAGAATGATTTTGTGAGGGACAAAACACTTCTTTGTAAGGGTCAAAATACTGCAGGCCACCCTGTATTTGAACGTGAAGTCTGAGAGAAATCGCAGTAGATCTTGGCAGATTGGCATATCTTTAATATATTAAACAAAACATATCTGCTAGAAACATTCTATTCATATAAAAATGCAAAAAGACCCCTTAAAAGGCATTTCTTTGGCATTATTTCCCTCCCCTCCCCCTGGATATTGCAGGAAGCTCTGTTGATATGTCATTCGCTTGTAAACAAAGTGTAATTAAGAATACAAAGCTTTTTCTCTAATACTGTCACAATGCAGCAAGCAATAGAACCACGGAGCGTCAGCTGGGCTGGGGAGGCTGCAGGAGCTGCAGGAAGGGCTTAAGCTGTGGTAAATACCAGGGCCAGTGAAATATTTGAACATTTAACTGGGCAGAGAAGCCGAGGCAGGCAGGGAGTGGCAGGTTCAGCCCAGGGGTTCCCCAGCCCCGTGGGGTGAGTGGATCCCAGGTGAGACCAGTCCCCACTAAGTGCTTTTTCCTCCCCTGGCTTGTGGCCTTGCCAGCCCCACGACCCCTCGGAGGTAGCTACATTATTTAACTCATTTGCAGGCGGGGGAAACTGAGGCAGGGGGGGCTGGAAAGGGCAGGGGAGGCACCAGGCTCTCACCTTCCTTCTCTGCTGTGCTGCAGCTTCTCTGCAGCCTGGCTGTTTTACCTGTGTGCTGGGGAAAAGGGGAAATTTATTTTTCAGTGAGAACAATAAGTGCTTATCTAGGTCCCAGCCTTTGACGGTCTGAGGAAGAAGGTCCCTCATTCCTTGGCATCATTCTTTTGCATTCCCAGGAATGGTCCCTGCTCCTGAGAATGGTCTCTGCCTTCTTAATAGCAAACCCAGGTATTTTCTGAGCTTGGAGCCTGGATTGAGGACACAGAGCTGCTCTGGGCCTCTCCCACCTCCTGGTTCTTTGGTGCTTTGCACAGAGGGTCAGTCCTGGCAGCGGCACACGTCTGCCAGCCCACCCCATCGCATGGCTTCAGCCTCTGAGGGCTTGGGAGCATTTTCTGGCTGTGGTTTTAGTGTCTGGAGCCTTTTCTGACCCTTATTTTAGTGTCTGGCATTAAAGCAGTGCAGACAATCACCTCACCTTGGAGCTGAGGCTCCTCTTACCTTGTGCTTGGCTTTGCACTATGGCTTTGGCACCGCGCCGCCCGCGGGGCTGGCACAGCCAGGAACGCTGCAGAGGGAGCAGCGTGCCCAGGCTGGGCAGCGGTGCCTGGACGTGAAGGGCACTTGGAGCGGTCCCTCGGCGGGAATATTGCAGTCGTGGCACGAGCGGGCCCGGCCCAGGGGCGGGAGCGGGTCCCTCGCGGCACCTACGGCTCTGTCTATACATAATATACATTCAATAATATAGCTTTGAAAAATAGACATTTCCTCTGTAGAATATAAAATAGCATTTAGGATCAATCTCAAGTGACATGCAGGAGTGATTAAAGCACGGCGGCGGGAAGGTCGAAGCCTCCTCGGGGGGATGGGTGTGCCCGGGATCGTGCTGTGCCCGGTGGCACCGGAGCCCCCGGCCGTGCCGCCCATCCCTGCTAGTGCAGAGGCGTCCGCCGCAGCGCAGCTCCCGCAGGAAAACGCTGCGGCCGTCGCTCCTTCCCCACCTTCACACGGTGGTTTCGCTCTTCCAGAGGCCGCTCTTCATGCCGGCCGCGCCGTCGGCGCTGGCCAGGTTGATGTCGTACTTGCTGCCCTTGAGGCCGCCGTTGTGGCTGCCCACGTTGAGGGGGCAGGAGCGGCGCTTGGCCTCCCTGTCGGCGCTGCCGCCCGGCCGCACGTTGTCCCGGCTGCCGCTCCTCCGGCGGGCACCGGCCAAGTCGCTGCCCTCGGCGGGGCTGGGCACCGCGTCCCCGTCCTGCGGCAGCCGCGGCCCCGCGGGGCTGGTCCTGCCGCTGGCGTAGCTCTCGGAGTGGCTGTTGTGCAGGCTCCCGCTCTCGCTGGACGGCTGCTCCGAGGGGCCCCGCAGCATTTTCAAGCGGTGGTGCTTCCCGTCCCGGCACGGCTTAGTTCTGCCCCGGTGGCTCCTGCGGCCGTGCAGGTTGCTGGAGTGCCTGACGGGCTTCCCGTCGGCAGCGTCCGGCTCCGGGCGGGATTCCGCCTGGCTCTGGGCCACCTGCAGGTTGGTGAGCTTGCAGCGGCCCCCGGCAGAGCCGGCGCTGCTGGGCGAGGAGGAGGAGGAGGCGCCGGAGCGAGCGGCCTCCGCCTCGCAGCCGATGAAGACCTGCGAGCCGTCCTCCGGCCCCAGCCCCGGGTGCACGTAGACCTGCATGGGCAGCGCGTTCCGGTAGGACGGGCAGCAGGAGAACCAGGAGCTGAGCACGTCCCGGCGCCGCAGGCAGTGCTGGGCGAAGATGAAGAGCCCCAGCGCCACGGCGGTGATGCCGTAGAGGCAGCTGAAGACGATGTTCAGGTACCAGCGCTGGGACACGGCCGTGGCGCCGAACGTCCACAGGGCCACGTACAGCGCGTGGGTGGCCAGCAGCGCCCAGAACTGCACCCGCGGGGAGTGGACACCGTCCCCCTCGGGGCAGGGCGGCCCCGAGTTCAGCGTCACCGAGATGGACGCGGAGTCCGTCAGGAGGTCGCTGGTGTTCCCCAGCCGCGCCGCCGGCTCCAGCGGCTCCGGGGTGGCTTTCTGCTGCGAGGCTCTGCGCTGCAGGCTGAGCCCGGCGCGGAGGAAATAAATCCAGGTGACGAGCAGGATGAAAGCCACGGGGACGTAGAAAGCGCCCAGGCTGGGCCGCCACACCAGCCAGCAGCTGTGCGGAGGAGAGGGGCTCTGAGGGGCCGCGGCGTGGGGCTGCTCCGCACCCCTGCCCTGCTGGCAGGGCTCTGTGGAGCTGTGCCGGCTGCCTGGACGATTTTTTCCCAGTATGTGGATAACTCTCAGGAAAAAAACTCACCGACTTTTTCCCAAACTTCTCCAGATCCCCAGTGCCACCAGTTCCCCCGCCCCAGCAGAGGGAGGCCACCCACATGGGAGGAAGGGTCGAGCAAGGACACTTACTAGGGGTTGTTGTCGTGGTAGTTCTGGATGTTGACAGCTGCTGTGATCCCACAGATGATGAGGGGGATCCCGCCGGCGATCAGATAGAACCTGCAGGGGAGGAGAAGCGGAGAAGCGTCACCGCACACCCGGAGCCCGCGGCAGAGCACGGGCTGGGCTTGTCCAGGGGAGCAAGTCCCGCAGCAGCCCCCGGAGGTGCCCCCGCGGGGCCGGGGCAGGGGGCAGGGGGGTCCGTACCGCAGCAGGGGTCTGGGGGCTGCCTGGGACGTGTCCCTGTCCAGCTGCTGTGGCGCCTTCCAGGTCAGCTCCTTGTAGAGCACTCGGGCTTTCACCGCCATCCAGAGCAGCGTGGAGAGCGACGAGTAGTGCAAGATGATGCCGACCTGCGGGAGGAGGCCGCGGTTGGGGAGGCGATGCTGCAGCGCCCCGGTGCCCGTCCTGCAGCACCCCGGTGCTGCCCGGTACCCACGGCCTGGCACACGGCCCGGTAGCCGGTGAGGGTGATGCCTCCCGCGAAGACGGCGGCCGTCATGGCGATGTGGAAGCAGAGGTTAAGCAGCATGTGCCAGCCCTCCCGCGGGATGAGGATGGTGCTGCGGGAGGAAGAGCACAGCGGGCACCTATCAGCTCCTGCCCAGCCTCGAGAGAGCTGCGGCTGCCTTTGGTACAAATCCTGCACCAACAGCCCGTCCCTGGCCACGGAGCGTGGCTGGAGGGGATGTACAGCCAGGTCCTTCCTGCACACAGGCAAAGGAGCAGGACCCAGGGCCTCTCGCCAGGCAGCACACTCCTAAGAATGTGCTCCCTCACTCTCCTGAGAGTCCCTGTCCTAAGGGGCCACGTCACTGGGTGGCCATGCCCATACACCTTCGTCTGGCCCTTGGCACCTGGGGAGCTCCTCCTGCTGCCCACAGAAACGCCCAGCCCAGCCCAGCCCAGCCCAGCCCGGCCCAGCACAGCCCAGCCCAGCCCAGCCCCCAGAGCAGCAGCACAGCGCTGGATGCTCCCTCACCCGTGGTGGACAATGTAGGTGATGATGGTGGTGAAGAGGCAGAGCAGCAGCACGGCCGTGCAGGTGTACATGGCCGGGTGCAGCACCTCCACAGTGCCTTGCGCCTCGCTGGGGAACCCGCTGAGCTCCTGCAGAGCACAGCACAGCCCGTCAGGCCCCACAGCGGTGGCCCTGTGCCCCTGCCCCACCCCAGCACCTCCTGCAGCCCCCACGCTCCCCACCCTGGCACCGCCCCCACCCTGCTGCTCGCCCCACACCTACCATGAGCACGGCCACGTTGCTGAGGTGCCGGCAGTGCAGGGAGGTGACGTTGGGCTCGTGGGCGGCCAGCTGGCACCCCTCGGCGCTCCAGCCCCCCATGCCCCCCAGCACCTCGAAGTTCCAGTAGGCAGCCACGGGGTCCGTGCCCTCCCTGGGGTGCCGCAGGGACACAGCCACCGGCTCGGACAGGTTCCCCACTCCACAGCCATCTGCAGCCACAGAGAAACCGGGTCAGCAGGACGAGGGATAGCCCTCCACCGGCACCCCCAGAGAGGCTGGGCACAGGGGACCCTGCACATCCCTTAGGCACGTTGCCATCTCCCCATGACGAGCCCAGGGACGGCTCTGCACTGCGGGAGCACCAGCACGATGCCCCAGGGAGCCCCACGGGGCACCCCAAGCACCCCACCATGCTGCCCTTACAGGTCCCCGCGTAGATGACCGGGGTGGCCACGCTGCGGCGTTTGCCATCGTCGGCGAGGCGGGAGGAGTTCCCGGTGCTGCAGAAGAGTTTCCCATTACGGAAGACCAGCAGCTGGAGCTTGCAGTCGGCCCCTGGAGCGGCTGGGGCAGGGCTGGGGAACAGGCTGGGCGGCAGCTGGATGGAGGCCAGGGC